TGTCATAAACAGGGTACCCCTTTCAGAATCCCAGCGGAACACCTCTAATACAGACAAACTAATTTCTGCTCAAGCTAACTATTTGTACATAACAGAAATTTTTAATTTTTTTAATTCTATAATTTTTTACCTGGGAGTAAAAGGATGAGGATGAAAACGTGGAGAGCTTATAGCTGGGCTTTCTTTTTAATTATTGACCCCTACCCCCACCCTCTCAGAAAGTTGTGGTTCTCACAGAGTGATGGATAAAATGCAAGTAGAAAGCTTTGAGGTCTGGAAGACACTGCTGAGAAATTAATCTTCAGGGTTCAGCTGTGTGGAAAACACTAAAAATGTGGACAACATGGGCATTTGAGATAATGGTTTCATTACCGGTAGCCATGTCATAAATCTCCCAGCAAGAAAATATCCACTAACTGTACTCCGGTTGGACTTGAACATCGCCTAATGAATAATAATTTAAAATACATGTTTTTTTAATAAATATATATTATTGTTACTACTATAATTATTTGTACTTAATGCAGGATGTCGTACACAAGTGATGACTAATATATGTAAGATAAGAGCTAATACCATAGTGTAAAATAATTCTGCTTCTGTTGGGATATATAACACACTGTATAATCTTATACTTTTTCGGCTTTTTATTTATTTATTTACTTATTTCTGGTTTTGGTACTCGCTTCGATGGTTCCGACAGTTCCGGTGTAACTCTTGCATAAAGGTTCCGGTCATTTCGTTACGGTGTTCCAGTTTCATCTTAGCACATGGCATATTTACCACGCAACTTTATTTTAGTTCTTCATGCGCTCATGTTTAATCATGCCTGAATAAACCATTATTATGTATAGTTCCCCGTGAAAATAAAGGGATGAAAAGATCATAATCAGGTGCTCATTCAATTGCTTACTATCAATCACGTGACTTTTTGGAGTTAACTGGGGGGCAAACAAGCGGTTGACTGAGGGGCAACTAGCGGATATTAAGTCAAAACATATCAAAATAAGTCCTCAAACTATTGCATTTGACTATTTCTATGACATGAAACCAGAAAAAAAGAGATCAAAACAACCTCCAAGATTCTACAAGCCATCAAAAAAGAGCTATTACCGGAAGTGACGTCTATTGATAGCAACCTATACCCGGCTATGGCTGAGTGTCCACACAAACAATGGCCCCAATGGCATACAGAATGTCCGACAAACAAACTCATTCAACGAACAAACTCATTCAACGAACAACCACTCGAATTCATAAGATATTTTAGTAGTTGTCGATTTTTTTCCCTATTGTATATTTAGATGCATTGATTCTAAGAACAACATTAAAATTTCTTTTAAATATTTTTTCTAGAATCGTGTTTTAATACCCCACCGACAAAATTTGATCGAGATATATTCAAATTGCTAATTGACTGTACCGCAGCGTGTACGTACTGTGACTTTCAAATGGCTTTCCACCCATAAATCAAAACTCGAGAAAATCAACAGCATCCAATCAAAGACCATCAAAAAAGCTTGATCATGTCTGCAGGTCTGACTAAAGTCTCGAAACTGCAGAACCTCAAGTTGGGCTAGCCGTAGTGGTGGTTCGGGACCCTATGTCTCTTTCATTTGAGCATAATTGCTCTATTGAAATAATAGGTTATGTATGTTTTGATTGTATTAAAAAGCTGCTGCAAAGTGCACTTCAGAATAAATCCATGAGTTTAAAACATCTTTATTTAAGAGCTAAAGCTATAGTAAAGTCGATGTTTTAATTCAAACATTTTTTGTAAGTAACAAAAGCCACGCTACGTATCGTGTAACTCATGCTCATCATGATCATCACTCTAAAAGTCAAGCAAAGAATTACGGCAGTCTAAATAATTAATCTATATTTATACATTAATTTTTAATTTTTATAAACTCATTTAACTTAAGATTTATGCTTGAACTGTTAATTCAGTTTTAAAAATGACAGTTTTGAATGTAGATTTCCTGATAGTACGCGTTTCGGTGCGTGTTATTTACGCTTAAACGTAAACACGCGATAAGTGAAAACAGTTACTAAGCTTATACTTACGAAAAATCCCACGCCGAGAATAACTACGAAGTACAACACAACTACAACAATATCCCATCCTTCAAGTCCTGGGGGATGGTAAGTCACCATATCGAACTGATTAAACGCAGAATCTTATTAGAATCTGGAGCATCTACTAGTATAACTTTTGCCTGCTCGAGAGACTCTCTCCTCGATTTTTCAAGTATTCTGATTGGTCCGGGAAAGAACAATAGAAAGAGGTTCGCCAGATACGGACCATAGTGCAGTGCGACCCACCGTAGGTAGCTAAAAACTAAGCTAGAGCGCATTCAGTCAAACTGTTGAATAGTTGACGTCACCTAAATTAGATAAGTTAGTTACTCTTTTAGCTGAACTCACATAAATTTGAAACTACGAGTAAACAGCTACTGAAATCAGAGGGAGAAACGTAACGATGATAGAAATGAATAGACATTCTCTCATTCTCCGGTAAAACAAACCCCCGGATTAGCATGACCGTTATTTGGTGCGCTTTTACTATTTTAGGCGACGTCAACTAAATAGTTATCTAAGTTAGATACATTTATCTAACTATTCAACATTTTGACTGAATGCACTCTTAGAGTGCTTTTAGTCTCGCTGTTGAATAACTAGATCTATTGGGGAAAATATTGCTGTTTGCTTCGGTTCGAAGAATAGAAGCAAAATATTGTTTTCACGGTTCGCCTAATATGGAGAGTGGTTGCCATGGAGATAATGACGCAACGAACGGCAAAAGGCGGGCTTTCGCAGGCGAAGGGTTTCATTCTAGCCTGACTGCAAGGTTAAGCACGGCACACTAATT